ATTCCCTAACTGAATTCGCTCTCTAGGCAAACGATGAAGAGATTGATAATTGACAAATGATAGTGAATGTCACAAATTCTCTGACCTTATATGGCACAGAAACGGTTTACAGGAAGATGTTAAGCCAACGCATCTTGAATTTGTTCCGTATGTATGGACGTGCATCAGCGAAATTAAAGAGGTTTGTGTAGCAACCGAAGCTTAAGCAACAGCATAAGCCTAAGGCGAAACGAGTTTTCTGATAACCGAATTGCGGTATTTTGAAAATTGTTTTTGCAAACAGTGAACTTCGGACTCAACGGATATCGAACAAAAAGGCTGGCAAAATTAATGTTTTCCAGAGATTCTCGCTCTTCATTCATACGTTTTTACTGTAGATGACCATTCGCCTAATTTTCAACCATTTTTGAAGGATTTCAATGTGACAAACGATTAAGAGATTGATAGGCTGATCAATACATAACTTTCGCATTAACGGATTTTAACAAATAAAGATGGTAGTTCGAACAATACGGTGCAACTACGAATCTACTCGTAACATATTCCACCTCGAAACCGCTAGTTACTTCAAAACATTCGCAAAAATTTCAACAGAATGGCTTCCAGTGATGCAATACCACAGTAGTTCGAACAGTGGCATAATTCGCTTGTGGCTTAGAGTGATTAAATGCATCTGTCTTACGAAAACCTGAACATCGAGCAGGCATGGTCCTATTGGAAAAGTGATTACATTCCCAAGCAAGCATGATACAGTACGTTGAAATGAGTTATACCCGATTTGTTCACAACATGATCGCTAAGTTTACGAACGTAAAAGAATCTTAAAATGATGTTTAGGCAACTTATGAGAGGTTCGACGGAATTGGAGGAAAACTGAATGATCTGAATAGCTGAACGTATGTGCAAACAAAATCATGAATCATCTCAAAAAGATGAAGAACCAACCACGTGGAGTGTCTGTTTGTTTGATTTCTTGCACAGTAACTTTAGCGACGTCAACAGGTGGATAGGGGCACACAGAATCAGGCAGTGGCTGATAGGTGTTATCAGTGATCGAGAAATCATGCTGAATTTGCGTCAGGTGTGTTGGTACATTGAGTGGAAAGGATGGTGACGGTGCACGTGAGCTATTCATTAATAGCTGCTGCTCATTGACACGTTCAACATAATTGGATGGTACCAAGCCAGTTTGACCATCCAGTGTTTCACCGTGGTAGAACTGATCCTCATCCATTTCACCATGCACCAAAACATAATCACCCGCTTGGAGCGGTAGTTCCAGTTGAGGGTTGTCGTTCGGTGAATCTCGAATAGGAATATATTGGAATAAAGCACGGAATAGGCGAGTGGATGGTCGTTGTCTTAATGCTAATAGAAGTGTATCAGAAATAGTATGGTGAATACTTGACTGCGGCTGTTCGGACTGCTGTAATAACGATAGAGCTGGTGTTATTGAGATGATGGATGGTTGTGATGACTGGATTGTCTGACCGAGAATGATGCATGGAGATTGGGTTGAATTCGTGTTGAGTTGGGTTTGTTGTTGTGGGGGAGAGGAGGTGGAAGGTTGTGGGTTATTGGTCTGTGATGTTGACGGGGCTGAAGATGCGGTGACTCCAGCATTCAACGAGGACGTTGCCGGAGCCGGGCCACTCGCAGCACAGCTAGCGCTGTATGCTAACGGCATGACGTTGCCGGCACGGCACCGCGCTCATACTACAGTTCCCTCCTCTAGTGTGCACCACACCAGATCCTTGGTGCGACACTAAATCCAATATTGCTTCTTCTCTGAATAGTGTGCTTGGTTGTGATTCAAGTAATCTCAACAGCGATACTTTATGGAATAACAACGTTTCGATGATAATTCCAGTGCTGCTAATTGTATGAATTTTTTGTTGATGAATAACAAGACATTTATTGATAATATTTTAATATCAGGCGTATGATTAGTGCTGCCAGAGAAGTAGTTGTAGTAGTGGTAGTAGTAGTAGTAGTAGTAGTGGTAGTAGTAGTGGAAGCAATATACCCGATTCGCCTCAGGCTCTGCCAAATACGCACATTGTCGATGCAATCCAATCGATCTCTTCTGCTTTCGGCTACGACCTATGCAAGCAAGAATTATCTCGTTCTTCACTTCACTCTCCGCAATTCACCGCCTCCTCGACTATATAGAAAGCTTTGCTTGTTTCAGCATGTATACGCCTTAACTCAACAAGCTCACTTCATATATTGCTCATGCATGTGTATGCCTTTTATTCTTCAGATGATGGCTTTCAGGCAGTCAGCCAGCCGGCTGTCGCAAGAGCACTGGTTGTTATGCTAGTGAGTGTGTGTGTGTATGTGTGTGTATGCATCCACACATCGATTTCCCATAGCCAGAAGAAAAGAAATAAATGAAGGGAAGAGAAAAGAGAATCGGAAAAAATGAGTGGGGGGATATTATGTTTGAATGATGAACGAGATATAGATAAAGTATATACGAAGATGCTAACATCAAATCAAGGGGTCGTATTCAATATTTGACCGAGAATTGATTCAAGCATTCCATTCTTCGAGCACAGCCATAGTGATTGCGTTATCTCATTCCTAAACAGACCTATCAAGAACAATCGAATCCTCTCACTAAAATAGATTATTCTATTATATTATTTCCTCTGTTTTTACAATGACGCTTCTTAACGCTTTTTTTACCTCAACTTCAACGTGCATGGGGCTGTGCAGAAAAGACAACTGTTGAGATACCGCCTCATTCTGGCTGATGTTCATTGGAAATTACTCCATACAAAATTTGAGCCAAAATAATCACACCCAGAGCTGATGTGACCGCTCGAAGTTTTCAGCACAGCAATAAATCGAGCATTCTTCCCTGCTACCGAATTTTCCTTTTTTTTTCTGCGGCTTGCAGAGCACCGGGTAAAATGATTTCGTTCATCGTAGGAAAACTTCTCTCGATATATCGCAGCAACCGAATCACAACACCTCGAGCAACATGCGCTACTCGATCTTATCAGCATAACAATAAGCGGTTGTGGGAATCGAGTGTTCCTCCTCATTGCTTGTTGTTTGTTTTTTTTTTTGGATTGTTATGCCCTATGTTCGACATTCAAGGAAGTGATGATTCTTCACTATTCGAAAAAAAAAGAGTCGCTGTAAAAGTTCAGTCAAAATATTACAAGTGGACTTAGGAACCCTTCCTTGAAAATAGCGTTTGTCATGAATAATTACGAACAGCTGATCCCCATGCGTCAGTTACTTTTTTGAACGGGACACTTCCCAGGAGATTTACAGAATATTTTAAATGAGATAATAATCAGATTCATCGCTCCATGAACGCTGCGATATAAAAGTACTGCATAAGAGGTCACTGGGGGCATGCTCCGATTTTATTATTTGTGGTCAGCGCTTTCTAGAGATTTTTAAACAGACATGAAACACTTCAAATTTGTAAAGCAAAAATCAGAGAGAAAAATGCAAAAATGTAAACAGCGAGAATAAACGATAGGTGGTAATACGCGTTTATTGCTGTAGTGATACATGCAAGCAGCTCGGGCAACTCGCAATTCTCTTGAGCTGCAACGACATTTTACATACAGCTTTCCTGCATTAAGAGTCGTAAAAATATGGAAAAATCAAGCAACAACGAGGGATGCCTGATTATTTGGGTAAATTTATTAGGGAAAAATTTCGAATGCTTTGTGCCAACTCTAGATGTGATATCTTTGGCTCAAGTTTTGCATCGGATGGTTTTCACAACCAAAATGAACCAGAACGGTACACATTTCAGAATTCGGAGAAAAGAAATTTCTCTATTGCTTTTGCAACACCATAATATTACGTGCTCTTGACTATTCATTTCTTTACTCACATTGAAATGCATCTGATGTTTAGAGGAATCTGAGTGAATCTGCATCATTCACTTCCCGAAGTGAATTATGCAGATTCACGCTAATCTTTTCTATTATTTTGATCACGTTCAGTGATTAAATGTATGACTTCGAGAGTGCACTATATTCCTTCCGCTGGACTCGCATAACATCAAATCTGACCATTACGTCAATTTTGGCTGATGCAAAGAAAGAGACACCAATGCTAATGGATGTTGCTCACTTTCATGATGTGGTCATCAGCATTCGCGAACAAAAGTTGAATTATCGAAGACAATCGCTCAATTTCACTGAATTGTGTGTTCCATGCAATTTCAATATCTGTATTCATTGAATATTTGTCTTTGGAGTGTTAAATTAGCATGCAGAAAGCTTTATTCATATTAAATGAAATCGGTATCAATGCAAAATGGTTTCGATCTGGCTGATTTTGTCGACGTCATGTACTGACACTGAAACAAATAGCTAGAAAAGTTCATCGAAAACAAGCCGCAATGGCAATGCTTTCAAACGTATTCAAAATGAAATAGTTGATTATGCACGATAATATTTACGGCAAAAAACTCATCGAAGTGAAGGAAAATGGGATAGCCTCTATGTTCGGATCAAGCTTTTTCGATCCGTTAATATCCCTGAACTGATCCCGAATCCGCATAATTGAAACTTCATCATATGATGAAACCAGAACAGAGTGAGCATATTTCCACACTCCCACAGATGAATTCGGATCCAGTGGGTGGAGATGTGAAAGTTTTTGCACTTGCAAACGAAATTTCAGTGAAATTAGTCATCGCAACCGCATTTCAATTTTATCTCTGTGGCATGAAATCGATTTTCAAAGACAAAATAACCGAAATGTGTTCCAAACTCAGTTATTTCTAAATAAGATTGAGTTTTAAATGTATGCAACTTCTTAACGTTTCATTTCGTAACTTTGCATCGAGAAAACTGGTGAATTTATTAGATGGAAGAAAGCACTGAATGAAAAAAAGCTACGAAAAAAAAGAGCTTGTTTGATAGCATTTTCATGGCCTTCTCCACTTACACTATGGTTCGTGTTTTGTTGATTCAAACAATACATGATCTGAATTGCATGAGCTATTTGACAGTTGTCGAGTAAGGTCGATGCGTGGGTAATGCAAAAATTGTGTGTTCGATTGGTTTGACATTGTTGATCTGAATGAAAGTGTTTCTTTTTTTTTAGTGAATGACGCAAAGAGCGACATCCATTTCATTTATTTTCTTGCTTTCCTGCGATGTTTGATTCGAATGCAAAAATGTGGTTTGATTCAAAGCATACAAATGAGATTGGACAGCTCGCGAATGGCTACAGCAATTAGAGGTCGTAACGGGAATAAAACATTACCTCAGTGGCAAGTTATCGAAAATTAATTGCTGTTCTTTGTGGAGAAATGATAATGATTTTTGTGAAGTACTCTCGACAGTAGTGTACCGCTGGCATTTGTTGTCATAACAATATGTGCTAATCACCTTAACAGACCAGTTCCCATGTCACGGTAACGTGCTGAATGTTCACCTCCCTTACACGAATGAATCGAACTAATTTGTCGCATTGTTCTCATCATCTGTTCTACTTTCATGAATGTCCTCTCAAAACCTATCAACCTTGACTAATTAACTGTAGTCTCAATTCAATGCTCAGTACTTTGAATGATTGCTTTGATGACAATGCTAGAAGACTGCTGACATACTTCTTCATTCAGTAAAATAACGAATTTTTGATTCAGCAAAAATGGACGATGGAATGGCTAAATTCTTAAGGCCTTTAATATTGGACAGTATCGATCCTTTATGCAGTCTGCATGAAATGTATACTAATATCAACTGTATCATACTGGACAAAATTGACCGGACGTTTCTCATACAAATTCACAAAATAATATTACATTCATCCTCTATCAGTTACTTCACCCATGCAATCTACAGGCCAGTCGCTCCGCTTATTCGGAGCAACTGGCCTGTAGCTTGCATGAGTGAAGTAGTTGAAAAAGGATGAAAATATATCATTCTATGAATTTGTATGAGAAGCGTCGCAACTTTTTTGTGACTGTTTGTGAATTCTTTGTTGCAACATCTGCAACGCAGCTTATTTAAGT